CATTTTGCACCAGCTGTAATTTCCGGATCGGCTTCAAGGGTCAGCCTGCGTAGAGCGAGTCGCAGTAATCAAGCCTGGAAGTGACCGCTGCATGGGTCACCGTAGCGAAGTCCTGGGGGGGGGAGATAGGGCTTCAGTAGCCCGATCTGCCTAAGATGGAAGAATGCAGATCTGGCGACTGCAGCAACCTGGACCTCCATAGATAAGGAGGTATCCAGTGTTACCCCCAGGCTCTTCACCAACTGGGCCGGCACCAGAGGTGTCCCAGTGTGGGACGTCTGGTACCCATCTCCAACCCCCCATGACCAGTGTTCCCTCTAAGCTGAGTGAGTGTGAGCTAGCTCACAGTTCTTTAGCCTCCGGCGCACACCTTTTTGTCTCCGCTCGGGAAGGAGGGCTCCAAACATCCAGCCACAGTCTTAGGCCTAAATACTTCCACTTCTCAAGAGCAGTTAATTATGAATTGGGTTAGGGCGGGATGTAACCTTTTTAAAAAAACTTTGCAGTCACGCTCCTACAATAAGCAGCCATAAGATTTAAATGCCCAAGCACCGTTTTGGGTTTATGATGGCGCTGCCGCCACTCAAACTGGTAATTCACCACTTATTCTGGAGTGCAGCGAGAGACGGCTGGCCCAGAGACCAAAGGAAGCAATTAGGCTACAAATTAGGACAGGAAAATGCACAACAGGACTTATGCTGAAAGGCATTTACTTCCAAGCAGATGCAGCGTGCTCATGCCTAGTGAACAAGCACTGCCATTCTTAAAGGGAACAGGGCACTGAATAAATGAAGGGAACAGTCTATGCTTCTCTCGGATAAGATATCCTTGAAGAAATCACTACTTGATGAAATACCAGCAGCCACTAGAGTGACAGCTAGGTTCTGTGCCCCGGTGATTAAACAGAAGAATAGTTTAAGTAGGCGCTTCACTCTCTGATGTAGATTTGAGGAGCTAACAATGATTTTATGTATATTAATTTTTATTAATATACTTTATTAGTTGTTGTAGATTTTCCGGGCTGTGTGGCCGTGGTCTTGGCATGGTAGGACCTGACGTTTTGCCAGCAGCTGTGACTGGCATCCTTAGAGGTATAACACAGAAAGACAGAGTACTCTCTGTGTCAAGGTGAGAAGAAAAATGGTAGGCAGGTAATTTAGATCTACTCAGGAAAGGTGGGGTAGGGTTGAGTCGTTATCTTGTAGTAGTTCCCCAGGCTGTGACGTGCTAATGGAGGAGCTTTCCTGAGAAGGTTCCTCTGCATATGGATTGGCTATTGAAATTCTAACCTTGTAAAATGTAGAGCATTTTGTTTTTTGTGCTATTGCTGGATTATAACCTGGATGTACATTTTAGAAATACATGTATGGCAGATTTGTATTTTATCCTTAGCTATGTGTAAAACTCTTTTGTCTGGTCTATGACTGTTATAATAAACAATGACTATGCTAGCAAGGGCTGTGGCTGAGTGGCAGAGCATCTGCTTGGCATGCAGAAGGTCCCAGGTTCAATCCCCAGCATTTCCGCTTTAAAAGGACCAGCTAGTAGGTGATGTGAAAGAGCTCTGCCTGAGACCCCGGAGAGCTGCTGCCAGTCTGAGTAGGCAATACTGCCCTTGATGGACCACGGGTCTGATTCAGTATAGGGCCACTTCATGAGTGTTCATGTGTGTGCATAAGTACTAAAGGTAAAGGTAAAGGTTCCCTTGCTCGAAAGCCAGTCGAATCCGACTCTAGGGCTGCGGTGCTCATCTCCGTTTCAAAGCCGAAGAGCCAGCGCTGTCCGAAGACGTTTCCGTGGTCATGTGGCCGGCATGACTAAGCACCAAGGCGCACGGAACGCTGTTACATAAGTACTGTGTAAAACTTCCACTCTGCCTATATCTGAATACAGTACAAAGATATCATTGTGTGGAATCAAGATCTGCTGCGTGGGTGCCCCCAAATCTTTCAAGAAAGGGCCAAGTTAATCCCAGCTGTGACCAATGCTCCCTCTAAACTGTGGAGTCTTGTGAGCAGAAATTCCACTTTGTGAGCTATGGGCCTTAAAGTTGTGAGCGAGCGATTGGGCTACCGCATGGATTAGTTTGCTCTGGAGCCCTCCTTCCTGAGCGGAGACAAAAATGCGTGAGCCGGAGGCTCAAAAACTGTGAGCTGGCTCACACTAACTCAGCTTAGAGGGAACACTGGCTGTGACCCTAACCCTGTAAATTCCCATGCTTCCTTTTGACGGGGCCGGCAAAGCAGAGCAGATTTTTATACCCTGCGTTTCTCTACCTTAAGGAGTGTCGAAGTGGCTTACAAATTACAATGGTCTTCCCTTCCTCTCCCCACAACAGGCGAGCAATGTTCCCTCTGAGCTGTGGAGTCTTGTGGGCAAAACTTCTACTTTGTGAGCTACTGGCATTAAAACTGTGAGCGAGCGATTTGGCGACTACATAAATTGGTTTGCTCTGGAGCCCTCCTTCCTGAGCTCAGACCAAAAAGGTGTGAGCCAGAGGCTAAAAAACTTGTGAGCTAGCTCACACTGACTCAGCTTAGAGAGAACAGTGCTTGTGAGGTAGGTGGGGCTGAGAGAGTTCTGAGAGAACTGTGACTGGCCCAAGGTCACCCAGCTGGCTTCACGAGGAGAAGGAGCGGGGAATCAAGCCCGGTTCTCCAGATTAGAGTCCGCTGCGCTTAACCGCTACACCATGCTGGGGCTGTGCCCTCAGGTTAAACTGCAGAGATAGCATTTAGATTTGCCACCTCAGGGACTGAAGCATCGAACAAGAGGCAGTGGGAAACAGAACAGCACCAAACCTACCACAAGCATCTTATTACTTTATTGCACACAGCCTGTTTTTTCCCCGGCTGGGACTCAAAGCAGCTCTCAGAACACTGTTTCCCCCGATTTCATTTTCTTACAGCAGTCCTATGAAATAGAAACTAAAAAAACTGCCAAAGTGCTCTACGATACGTGTATATTCACGTAGAACCATGTAAGAATTCACTGCACAGAATCAAGAACATTACAAGTAAGCATTACCAATGTCCTAAATGAGAAGTCGTGAGAAGACGTTGAATAGTTGACGAGATTCCCCAGAGTACACTTCCGTTTCGTGAGTACTTCTTCCGAACACAGTCAGATTAACAAAGACGTGTCTTCCGTTCGTTAATTCATCATAGAATGCAATAATTCTTTCCTAATCCGCTAGACATAGTATCTTTCAAAGACAGGCATACTAATGAAGGTGGTCAACTTACTCCCTTGAATTATTGCATTCTATGATGAATTCATGAACGGAAGATACATCTTTGTTAATCTGACTGTGTTCAGAAGAAGTGTTCACGAAACGGAAGTTTATTCCGGGGAATCTCGTCAACGATTCAACGTCTTCTCACAACTTCTCATTAAGGACATCGGTAATGCTTACTTGTAATGTTCTTGATTCTGTGCAATGAATTCTTATGTGGTTCTACATGAATAGACACGTATTGTAGCGCACTTTGACAGCTTTTGTTTCTCTGTTAATAGTCATCTTTAGATGTTACCCTCTATATTTATATTGTCCTATGAGAATAGGCCAAGCCGAAAGCTTGCAGAGGACACAAGGTCACCAAGCCAGCTTTTTAAACTTTGTAGTCACACTTCTATAATAAGCAGCCATTTGAACTCAAATCACCTGGAGTCCTAGGCCAACAGTCTACCCACTACACCACACTGGCTCTCTTAAGAACATAAGAGAAGCCATGTTGAATCAGGCCAATGGCCCATCCAGTCCAATACTCGGTGCCACACAGTGGCCAAAACCCAGGGGCCATGAGGAGGTCCACCAGTGGGTCCAGAACTCCAGAAGCCCTCCCATTCTTGCCCCCCAAACACCAAGAATACAGAGCATCACTGCCCCAGACAAAGTGTTCTATCTACACCTTGTGGCTAATAGCTGCTGATGAATCTCTGCTCCATATGTTCATCCAATCCCCTCTTGAAACTGTCTGTGCTTATAGCTGCCACCACTTCCTCTGGCAGTGAATTCCAAGTGTCAATTGCTCTTTGGGTGAAGGACTTAATTTTCTTTGTTCTAAGCCTACTTGCTCACTATTTTCATTGAGTGTCTACAAGTGCTCGTAATGTGAGAAAGAGATACTTCTCTTCCTGTCTTCTCTATCCCACTCATAATTTTGTAAACTTCTGTTGTCTAGGAGTTGTAAAGGGTAAAGGTTCCCTTGCTCGAAAGCCAGGAGTCTGACTCTAGGGTTGCGGTGCTCATTTCCGTTTCAAAGCCGAAGAGCCAGCGCTGTCCGAAGACGTTTCCGTGGTCATGTGGCCGGCATGACTCAACACCAAGGCGCACGGAACGCTGTTCCCTTCCCATCGAAGTGGTACAAAGGCTCTAAATCACACAGGCTGTGGAAGGTCAGTAGTTCAGCAGTTCGAGACCCAAGTGTGCCGCATGATGGAGTGAGCTTCCATCTCTAGTTCCAGCTCCTGCCAACCTAGCAGTTCGAAAGCAAGAAATTGCAAGTAGATAAATAGATACCACTTCGGTGGGAAGGGAACAGCGTTCCGTGCGCCTTGGTGTTGAGTCATGCCGGCCACATGACCACGGAAACGTCTTCGGACAGCGCTGGCTCTTCGGCTTTGAAACGGAGATGAGCACCGCAACCCAGAGTCGGATTCGACTGGCTTTCGAGCAGGGGAACCTTTACCTTTAGAGGCCTCTAACAAAGCATGCTCAATTTATTTGCCCAGCCTCTGAACACAAGATGCAGTAGATACCCTTTAAGAACTCTGGGTTGGAGGGTACAGAACTATTCCACTAGTCGCTCCTTCCCATAGTGCTTTGTTCACACAGCCGCTATCAGAACAGAACTGCTGGAGTCCAGCTCCTTAGTTCCAGGAAACAGTGGGAGCATCTGCCATAGCGGTTTTGGAAAGGGATTTATCGCCTTTCTGCTTCTTGACCACCTGCCTCGAGGCCTTGGGATGGGGGCACGACTGAATTGTAAGAACCTTGCCTGCTTGATGTTGGCTCCGTGGCGACCAATCAGCAGTCTGACTGCATCCTTTGGCACCTTCATCTCTATTTCGATCTCCTCTTCGCCCACAAACGTCAGCCGTTCTTCTAGAGGCAACAAGCAGAGAAGCAAGTCAAGCTTAAGGACGTTAAGAGAGGCCACTGCTGGATCAGGCCAGGACTGCTGGATCCAGTCCAAAACCCTGCGTCACAGTGGCCAAAACCCAGATGCCATCAGGTGGTTCAGCTGTGGGACCAGAACTCCAGAAGCCCCTCCCACTCTTGCCCCTCCCCCCCAAACACCAAGAATATGGAGCATCACTGCCCCCAAACTTCAAGCAAGCTTCAAGCAAGGCTGCTACCTCCCATTTCAGCAGACCACCTCTCCTGGGCGGCTCTGGAGCCAGAGTGCTCCAAGCCCAGCCTGCCTGACGCAAGAAGGAAGTCAAGCTTGCCTGTTCAGTTCCACTATTTGGAGCTGGGATGACCCTTCCACAGCACCCACTGTAGAACTGCTCATTCTTGCTTGCCCATTTGGGAAGGGCCGCGGCTCAGTGGAGAAGCCTCTGCTTGGGATGCAGAAGGTCCCAGGTTCGATCCCTGGCCTCTCTAGTTAAAAGGACCATGCAGGAGGTGATGGGAAAGACCTCCACCTGAGACCCTGGAGAGTTGTAAAGAGGGGCTGTGGCTCAGTGGAAGAGCCTCTGGCTGGCATGCAGGAGGTCCCAGGTTCAATCCCCGGCATCTGCAGTTAAAAGGACCAGGCAGGAGGTGATGGGAAAGACCTCCGCCTGAGACCCTGGACAGCAGCTGCCCATCTGAGTACAGGGTTGCCACTAAAATTTTATTTTTCATTTCCCTGACCAACGTTTGCCAATTTCCCTGACCACCAATCAAATATAGCCACAAGTTGAAAAACGAATAGGTCGTGTTGCATTAATGCAGGGCTCAATGAACCTCTATCATGTCCCTCTCCCTCAGTCGTCTTTAAACGGAAAAATCCCAGACTCTTCAACCTTCTCCCAGAGGGTAGGTCCTCTCACTGAGGCCAAAAGATTAGGACCTGCTTCCTTTCACCTCAGCTACTGCCCCCAAAGTCCCTCAAGCTGTCCCCCAAGACCTACAAAGCTCCCCCAAGCCACTGGTTGAGTTGTGCCATCTGATTAAGGCCTGGAGCCACTACAGAAATCAAAGGAGACTCCACGGGGCCAGTGCAAGGAACTGGAGGGCAGGAGGATGGGGGGGGGAGGAGGAAGTGAAGGGAGGCGCTGAAGAAAAAAAAGTGAGGACGAAGCAAGGGCTGCACCCCTCCCCACGGGAACGCTGCCCCACTCTGCCAATAGCATTTGTTGGGTCGGCTCACTAGATATAGACTGTGTTCCTGTGTCTGCTTAACACCGAGCCAGTTTGGTGTCGTGGTTAAGTGCGCGGCCTCTAATCTGGGAGAACCGGGTTTGATTCCCCACTCCTCCACTTGCACCTGCTGGATGACCTTGGGCAAGGCGTAGTTCTGGTAAGAGCTGTTCTCTCAAGGACAGTTCTGGAAAGAGCTCTCTCAACCCCACCTCCCTTGCAGGCAATGCTCCTTCTAAGCTGTGGAGTCTTGTGAGCAAACATTCAACTTTCTGAGCTACCAGCATTAAAGTTGTGAGGGAGCGATTTGGCTGCTGCGATAATTAGTTTGCTCTGGAGCCCATCCTTCCTGAGCGGAAACAAAAATGTGTGAGCCGGAGGCCAAAAAGCTGTGAGCTGACTCACACTAACTCAGCTTAGAGGGAACACTGCTCGCAGGGTGCCTGTTGTGGGGAGGGGAAGGGAAAGGGGTTTGCAAGCCGCTCTGAGACACCTTTGGGTAGTAAAGGGCGGGGTACACATCCAATCTCGTCTTCTCTTGCAAGAAAACCTACCCTATGAGAAAAGGCTGAAGAATCTGGGTTGCAGGCTGTGTTTATTTATTTATTTATCATTACACTTCTACCCCGCCCTCCCCACAAGCGGGCTTAGGGCACCATGTGCCAGCACATAAAAACAGGATAAAACAATAACATATAACCAATAAAATATACAGTCACTGAAAGCCCTAAGAGCAGGGGGGACTTCCTTCCAAGCAACGCCAGAGTCCAGGGGCACCTTTAAGACCGGCGAAGTTTTATGCGAGGGGTGAGCTTTCGTGTGCCAAGCACACTTCGTCCAGGGATGAAATGGAATTACACGGCTGCCCACCTTGATCTTCCTCCCGAGCAAACAGGCGTGAAATCAAGCTGCCGATCATTGAAATGCCACTCACGCTTCCCCTAAAACGTGGCCCCGCCCCCACCCACCCTGAACGTCCCTCCCCCACTGTAAAGCATCGAGAGCGAGGAGGCGTCCATGAAGGACAACGGAGCAGAAACGGCCCCTTCCTCCCTCTCTCGTGGGCAATCCAGCTTTGAAGGGCTGCCAGAAGACGGAGCAGCAAGGAGAGGAACGGCAGACGAATAGTAAATAATTCAAGCCCCAAAGCAGCCGAGCTCTGTCGCGCGAGGCAGGGACGGCGCCTCCGCACCGGCCACGTGATCCGACACCCACCTTGGCTCTCCCTGTAACGGCGGTAGAGGATGTAGAGGATGGCGCCGCTGGCTGGAATCCCGAGGGCCAGCGCCACCTTCTGCAGTGTCGTCAGGCTGCTCCAAGAGCTCCGCTCACTGGACATCATTCCTCCGACAGCGGACGGCGGCCTGAGCAGGGAAGGAAAGAACTTCCTTAGTTGAAGATCTCTGCCGGAGAGGGAGACCAAAGAAATCATCGTGCCCAGCCGAGGACGGGCTCGCCGGGACAAGGGCAGGTTTATTTCTGGGCGCCGTCGAGCTGGGAAGAAAGTCTTTCCTGGGCACAAGCCCAGATTTGCCTGCCTCTAGCCTGCCGGTTCCGTGCAAGGGGGAAAGAGGTGACTCATCAGAAGGAGAGCTTGGAGAAGATGCGGGCCTTGGGACAAGGGCAGGTTTATTTCTGGGCGCCGTGGAGCTGGGAAAAAGTCCTTCCCGGGCACAAGTCCAGATGTGAAGAGAAGAAGGAGAGGTTGGATTTGCACCCTCCCCTTCACTCAAGAATCCCAGAGCAGCTAACAAACTCCTTTCCCTTCCCACAACAGACAGCCTGTGAGGTAGGTGAAGCTGAGAGAGCTCTCTCAAGAGCTGCTGGTGAGAGAACAGCTCTGACAGAACTGTGGCTTCCCCGAGGTCATCCAGCAGCTGCGAGGAGTGGGGAATCAAACCCGGCTCTCCCAGACTAGAGTCTGCGCACTTAACCACTACACCAAACTGGCCTGTCTCCAGACTGGCTATGCCTCCACGGCACCTATAGTCTTTGCTCAGACAACACAGGTGACCAGGAAAACCAGCTGTTTCGTCTGACCTCTGCTTCATCGCCCAATATGTAACACAGCCTCGTACGCTGTGGAACTGCAGTAAACAAAGGGTTGCAATGTTTCTGCCATCTGACTAGCGCTCCTGGCAGCTGGCTGTGGTTTCCCTCCATTCCCTTGGCCTGAAAAAAAGTCAGCGGTGAACTCATCACCAGCCAGGGAAAGGGTGCAGGCCTTTCCTCAATTGGAGGAAGCGTGGATTTATACCCCGCCCTTCACTACGCAAAGGGGTCTCAGAGCGGCCTAGAGTCTCCTTCTCCTTCCCGTCCCCACAACAGACACTCTGTGAGGCAGGTGGGGCTGAGAGAGCTCTTTCGAGAACTGCTCCTGAGAGAACAGCTCTGAGAGAATTTGTGACTAAACCAGCTGCGTGTAGAGGAGTGGGGAATCAAACCCAGCTCTCCCAGATTAGAGTCCGTGCTCCTAACCACTACACCAAGCTGGCTCCCAAATTGGCATGCCTGTTCCTCAGAAGATCTGGGGAACTATAGTTTAATAGCACTAAGCAGTGAGAGGCAGTGTAAGCACAGCGTCTTTGGAAATCGAGGCTAATTTACTGTATTCATACCCCACCTTGCTCCTCAATGGGGGCCCAAATTGGCTTACTGTGCTGTTTTTCCCCTCACAACAACCCTGCAAGGTAGGCTAGGCTAAGGCTGGCCCAAGGTCACCCAGCAAGCTTATATGGCTGAGTGGGGATTCCTAGCTCTCACACTCTTAACCACTACGCTGCCTTTTACCAAAAACTAGAATTCCCCACAACACACCAGTACGTTTTAAGAACATAAGAACATAAGAGACGCCAATGTTGGATCAGGCCAAAGGCCCATCCAGTCCAACACTCTGTATCACACAGTGGCCAGAAATACCAGGTGCCATCAGGGGGTCCAGCAGGGGGGCCAGGACACCCAAAGCCCCCCCCCTGTTGACCCCCCCCCCCCCAAGCACCAAGAAGACAGAGCATCACTTGCCCCAGAGCCCCTATCTATACCTTGTGGCTAATAGCCACTGATGGACCTCTGCTCCAGATGCTTATCTAATTCCCTTTTGAAGCCGTCCGTGCTTGTAGCCGCCACCGCTTCCTGTGGCAGTGAATTCCATGTGTTTTAGATACATGTGCCGTATGATGACGCTTGGGCATAAGAATGCAAGCAGCGCCTTGCTGGGCCAAACCAAGGCCACCAGCTCCACTCTTCGCAACAATCCCAGCAATCCAGAGATGCAAAGTAGTTTGGTGGAAACTGGCCAGTTGCTCCCCAGGGGACTACAAGCTAAGCTTTCTACAGTCCTGACAAGTTGCCAGTGCTCTGCATCCATATGCCGAGGAGGGGAATTATTGATTGAGAAGCTATGAAGATGCACACTGGATGAGACACGGAGTTCATCTAGTCCAGCATCCCATATCCCTGCTGGACCTCCTTGGGCAGGCCGTTCCATAATGTGGGGGCCAGATAGAGAAAGCATAAGAACAATCGAAAAGCCCTGCTGGATCAGTCCAACAGTCCATCTGGTCCAGCATCCTCTCTCACACAGTGGCCACCCAGTTCCTCTGGAGGGCCAACAACAGGGCAGAGAGGCCGAGGCCTTCCCCTGAGAAGACCATTCAGCCCTGCTGGATCAGGTCAGTGGTCCATCTAGTCCAGCCTCCTGCCTCACAGAGCAGCCAACCAGTTCCTATGGATGGCCAACAACAGGGCAGAGAGACCTTCCCCTGAGGAGAACACAAGAAGAGCCCTGCTGGGTCAGACCAGTGGGGGTCCATCCAGTCCAGCCTCCCGTCTCACACAGAGGCCAACCAGTTCCTCTGGAGGGCCAACAACAGGGCAGAGAGGCTGAGGCCTTCCCCTGAGAAGAACATCAGAAGCTCCCTGCTGGATCAGACCAGTGGTCCATCTAGTCCAGCCTCCTGTCTCACACAGTGGCCAACCAGTTCCTCTGGAGGGCCAACCACAGGGCAGAGAGGCTGAGGCCTTCCCCTGAGAAGAACATCAGAAGCTCCCTGCTGGACCAGACCAGTGGCCCATCTAGTCCAGCATCGTGTCTCACACAGGGGCCAACCAGTTCCCCATGGAGGGCTAACAACAGAGTATGGAGGCCAAAGCCTTCCCCTGATGCTGCCTCCTGGTTCTGGGACTCAGAGGCTTAGTGCCTCTGAATGTGGAAGGTTCCCCTCAGTCTCCATGGCTAGTAGCCACTGATAGACCTACCCCCTGTGAATCAATCTAATCCCCTTCTAAAGCCATCCATGCCTGTGGCCATCACTACATCTTCTGGCAGTCAATTCCACATTTGAACCACTCTCTGCATAAAGTAGTATTTCCTTTTGTCCATCTTGAACCCACTGCCCATTAGCTTCTTTGGATGCCCTTGACTCGAGCTCCAGGATTTTGGGAGAGGGAGAAAATGTTCACTTTGTCCACTGTCTCCACCCCATGCATAATTTTATAAACCTCTCACGTCCCCCTAGTCGCCTCTGTTCTAAACTGAAAAGTCCCCGACTCTCCAGCCTTTCTTCATAGGGAAGGGGCTCCAACTCCCTCATCATTTTGGTTGTCCTCCTTTGTACATGTGTACAGGCAGATGTTTTGCTCACCTGCAGGTTGGCACCAGCAGAAGGCCCTGTTGAGATGAGCAAAGCGGCTGTGGTGTGCACAGGGCAAGAGATGGTCTTGCAGCTAAGAGGGACAAAGCCAATACCTTAAACTGAGCCCGGTAACAAATATGCAGCCAGTGGAGCATCTGTAGAATTGGAATAACATGCATGATCTATCTCCAGGTAGTAGCTGAGCTGTGGCATTCTGTACCACTTGAAGCGTCTGAACTGATTCTGGGGGGAGAGAGTGCATTACAGCAGTCTAACAGTGATGTTACTGTGGTGCGAATCCAGGTGGCCAAAACAGGTGCATCCAACGTAAGGGGCCATTTTATGGACTAGGCTGCTAGCCTGCCCAAGGAAGTCAGGAGGGCTCCCCCTCTCCTGGCCTTCTGCAAATTATGCAAAACTGAACTACTCAAGAGCGGTGCTCCCTCTAAGCTGTGGAGTCTTGTGAGCAAAAATTCTACTTTGTGAGCTGCTGGCATTGAGGTTGTGAGCGACCGGTTTGGCTACTGCATAGTTTGCTCTGGAGCCATCCTCCCTGAGCTAAGACAAAAAAATGTGTGAGCCGGAGGGTAAAAAACTGTGAGCTAGATCTAGAGATGTAAAATTTCCGGAAATTTTGATGCTTGGAGTTTCCCAGTTTTTTTCGCGGGAAAACTGAAATTTTCGGAAAAATTGAAAAAATGCTACATTAGCATTTCTTTTGTCTTTTCTAGATTGAAAGTCATTCTGTTACTTTAGGAACATAAAATATGACTACGGACATTTTTACTTGGCATGAAATTATCACAACTAGCATATTAAAAAAATAGTGTATGTATCCAAACAATTATTACAAACAAAATACCCACCCACATGCAAAAACAAAACTGAAACCTTTTTATTTTCTTCTGACAATAGCACCTCCTAAAGGAAGAAATGTATCTTGTTCTTGCATTGGAGAGTTCAGTTTGTAACCTAGGACTTGCTTGTCCGCAGTGCACAGAAATTAGATCAATCTGATACCATATATATATTTTAGAAATGATTTGGAAAATATTTGAACACCTTGTCTTCAAATATTTTATTCATCATGTTAAAATAAAACGTTCCATAATAAAAAAATTATTTTCTTTTTTCAGTTTTTCTAATTTTTTGGAATAAAAAAAAAGGCTTCAGGAAAAAAACTGTTTTTCCCCCGAATTTTTCCAGGTTTTTTCCGGGTCTTCACATCTCTAGCTAGATCACACTAACTCAGCTTAGAGGAAACACTGCTCAAGAGGGCTTTTCTACCCAGATAACCGGGTTGCACTGGACAAAACTGGTTTTACAAACTAGCTTGGATAAATGGTTAGGGACTGAGATCTATACTACTGTGTACAGGTTACTGTAACTAGGATCCTATTATGTAATTTTTGCACTGCTTCATGTGTCATGTTAACACTTACGCTATCCTTCAGTTTTCTCTTTTAGAGTTCCTGTTCCTTCCAGACTTCTGCAATGTTAATCTTATTGCATTGTCTGTGGAGTGACCCACATGTCAATTGCAGACTCGCTCTGTGTAATCCATCCCGAGTACCAGTGAGAAAGGCGAACTATTAATAATGTATATAAATAAAATATTCAGCAGTGAGAAACCCAAGGCCCGCGGGAAGCTCATCAGCAGCTCCCCTGCTGTTCTCAAGCAAATTGTATTCCAAGGCATGCTACC